TCTCCTTTATGGTTTGTCTTGTTTGGTTTTTTTTTAAAGCAGTATTAAATAAAAGCTTTTTTTTTTTAAAAAAACACCTATTAAAAAAAAAAAAACCCAACCAAAACCAAGCTGCCTTTTACACAGTGATCATAAAAATCTGAAAGGAAATCCAAGGAGCAATTTTTGTTGCATAAATAGTGCAATGAGACTGACTGGAGTGTTTCCACGCAATATGGACCTGCAGATTCATAAACTCCCAGCCTTGCCCGTACAAACCCACTATCTGGGAGCTCAGGCTGCTCTGGGAGCACAGGCCGTGCTCGTGCTGCTTGTAGGAACTTCACTGTAGCAGTGGCAGGAGGAATTTTTTTCTCGTAGTTGTTCTTGGGTGTGTGCAGCAATGCAAAACACCAAGTACCACCTACAGTGTTATTTAAAAAATTCTCAATAGAGGCAAAGAACTTTCCTCAAGGGAACTATAAAATGGTTAGCAATTTTTAAATGGTGAAGAAATGGAGATGAAAATCTAGTTTGTAAGGCTTTGGGGCAATTAATTTGCTCATCACTTCCAAAGCACAAGTCACACAGTGCTACCTGCTTTTGTGTACTGTACAAAATTCGTTATCAGGTTCAAGAGACGCAGGCAAAACCCTAATGTGAGGAGTAATTTTGTCAGCAAGTTGTAACACTTACAAAGTAAGGTTTATAACAGAAGCACTTTCAACAGAAGACAACTGCAATAGCAGAATTGAAACATGAAGTTAAGGTACATAAATAGAAAATTCAAAATTACAGGATGAAGCTGTATCCTTTTTTAATTGCTACAAATATTCTCACACGTAGGAGATGCAAAACCAGTTAATGACACTTAATAGAGCCACGGAAGCGTGAGCAGTTACCAGTGAGTCACTGGAAAACAGGGGACAACATGCTGAGAACTTCATGTTATTTTCCAAAGGTGACTTTATACAGCAGTATAACAATAAAGGCAGGTCAACTTCAATCCTCATACATTAGCAGCATGCAAGAAATCCTAGTTTTTGGAGGTGCCTGTGGTTAGTGTTACTCATTTACTCTTAAGTAAATGTTATTTCCAACTCAACATTCTGGACCTAGCGCGGTCTCATGGTCTCTGAAGAATGGTAGATTTTTCTATATAATAGTTTTCTGGTCATCATTGAGATGGTGTGTGACAACAGGGACCTGGACTCCATAATGTGAAAAGTCCTCAGCTAATTCTGGTTCTCTCGTCAGGCTCTCTGCCGGTGACCATTCAGTCTGGGTGACTGGAGGGGCTCAGCTCCCTGTGCTGGCCGAGACCCCTGAGCTGGGGCCCATGGTATCACCAGCCAGAGGCGAGGAGCCACCACAGGGCTTCTCCACCCTGTGGCCAAGTACGGCATGACACAGACCTTTTCTATCTCCTGCGGTGCCAGGACAGCATTTGTAAACACAAACTCATAATAAAGTAGTTGTGAACAAACATATTACTGCAATAAAGCCGAAAATTTCTACAATCATTTTTATTAGTTATGGAAGAACCCCCACTAGTATTTACATAGTGCAAAAAAGCTGTTATTACTCCAAAAAGTACGGTAGACAGAACAATTATCCTTCATACAGCAAAAAAGAAATGGAACAAACCCCTTCATATTGTATTTAATATTGATTTTTCTACTCCTTTAACCTAAATATTACTATAAATTTTAAGACATTAAACAGTTTTCCTTATTAGAATCTAAAAGTAAAATATATGAACTATTCATGAACATTTAGAAAGTGGGCTGTACCAACTGGGTTTCTACTTTCAGTGTTACCATTCATTGGCATGGAAGTTTCTGGTCAGACATTCTCAGGTTTCCTTGTGTGCGGCAGGGTGGGTGGAAAACCCACGTGACTTGTTTCTATGGCTTGCTTCTGCTGGTTTTTGTTTCGTTAACGAATTGTCACGTCTAATTTTTAAATGGCTAACACTGAAATAAACTCGATAGTTTAATTAGTTGGCACAACTTCACAGGAAATACTTAATGACAGTTTCAGCAAACAGCAGCTTATCAAACAATAATACTTTTTTACATACTTATTTAAAGTAACATTATTAAAATTTAAGCTTGTGTTAAAGAACCGGACAGAATCACATTGTGTAAGCTCCCACCAACCCAAATGAGCATAAAGACACCTCTTATCTTTACCAGAAAAACACCAACAAGTGCATTACTGAACATCATCTATAATGAATTTTTAAAACACAGGTCAATACCCTCTGTCACTGTTTAGCTCCAATCCTACAACTACCTGCACACAACTGAAGCAGATAAACAGGCCACCAATTTAAGCCAGTGGAAGTAATGCTCTCAAGCGTGTGATAGCAGGATCAGGTCCTTAACCTTACTCAGACATTTTCACTTGGTCCAACTAAGGACAAAAGCTCTTCAGAATTTTCTCCTTTTACATATTTCTAATCCATGTTTTATTACCATTTTGACAGAGATACTTAAAGTATTTATATAAATAGGTTGTATACATAGCCACCTCTATCACTTTTAAAGATCCCTACCCCTACCACAGATACATTATTTTTGATTTTACCAGATAAATTAAGTGGTGAAATCATTTCTATAAAGAATGTCTTAAGAAAAGTATATTTTTCTGAATAATCATTTTCACAACAAAAATATCTATACATCTATAACTACAGAAACATCTTTTCTTGGGGACAGTAACAACCTGTATAACAAACAGCATACTTTTATACTGAAATAGAAATTCAGCTACTTTAAAAAAAAAAAAGAATCATGGTATTGTAAAACATTTGTATGCTTTCCTTTTAAATTCTGGTGATTATAGAATCAAAATTACCACAGTGAGATACTCTCCTCAAGTGCTCCAAGTGGCAAGGAACTTCCCCAATTTAGATGCAAACAGATCACTCCCAAAGGAACTGCAATTTCATTCTCACAGTTATTGCTCATTCCCAGCTTATCAAAAAGGAAGCACTAAAACCAGTTTTTCTTTACTCGGTTTCCGTTTGCTCCTCTAAGAGTGACCTGCCACATTTTAAAAAGAGAGTAGTTCCTTATTTGCTGGCAAATTGAGAGATATTAGAAGTGCTATATCACCTTCAAGAACTCTATTAAACCTGTAGCAAAACTGCAGTTAAATAGTGGGCTAAATATTACAAGACTTCTTTGATATAAATGTCAGAAAATTTTAAAATGACAGTCCAAGTTCAGAAAAAGACATATAAAAAGATGCGCCTTTGATGTTAATACTTCAAGATCAAAAGTTATTTGAATCACTGGCACTGAAAAAGCAAAAGGAAAAACTGAACACACCTTTGTTTTCTGATGTTCTGGTGAAGTTTTGCCCTCAGTGTATGCACTGATGTCAGCTGGCGTCAAGACATGTGCTTACACATCCAAGGGCGAGTTTTGCTTGTCAGCAGTTCAAACACCTATCATTTCCTAAAGCAAAAGCTCTTTCAAAACATACAGACAGTAGAAATCTGCCATACGTACAGCAAAAGGTTTAACATTCAGGAGGCATCATTCCTTAGTCTTTTGTTCTCCTATAAAATGCCTGTTCTAACATCTAGGAAGATTACATTAAGGAACTAAGAACATGACAGCCAGTTGTCCTAGCAGCTCTCTATACTGCTTATCTACATAGCATTTGCTATGCCTACACCTATCAAAGCATTATTTACATAATACACACAGGTTCTATTATTTTCATTAGCATCCAAAAAACCCAGGGGTAGATAGTTTCTAAACCTGGAGTCTTATTTTCCCCAGTGCAACTTAAAATGCCAGCATCACTAGTACTATAAGCATTGGTCCCATATTAAGTGTGGACTAAATACCTAAGCTATCCATTTCTTGGGTTTTTCAGCCTACCCAGAGGCTTTTTATACATTTTGATACAAGTGATCAAGAAAAATGAAGTGGAATTAAAACAAACATACGCTTGCTATAAAAGTGTTACTCATGTGAATTACTCTTTGGCTGCTCTTGTTGTGAAGCTCCTACTGCTGGCAGTTTCAGCACAGCCCTTGCCAATATAAGACAAAGATGGAAAACAGACTCCTTACATCCAAGGTTTAGACACATACTCCAGCTTCAATCTGTAAATTATTTTGTCATCAGTTAATGGATTTTGCTTCAATATTCAGAACAAAACATGGAAGAATTCTCTAGCAATGTGTGTGTTTCAGGGAGGGCTTATTTTTCTTTCTTTTACCTCTGAACCACTGAAATACCTCCCCATTCTCCAGGGCACTTCCTCCTTTCCTGGAATAGCTACTTCCTTTTCTACTCTAGAGGTCAACTCCTAGAGCTGCTACAGTTGTGAGAACAGACAAAAAGAGGTCACATTTTGAGTAAGAATTGTTAAGATACATTCTAAACTCAACACAAGGGTGGCCAGGATCAAGGCATGCATATGCACACGAACAACCATATCATTCCCACATACTGTTAATTCTTGCTTTCTGCAATGTTAGGTATATGACAATATGCAAAACAGCATTCCTGAGGTAAGTGACAGGAGAAAGAGGAAGTCATCAGTTTACTAAAAGCCCTGGATAGGGATTATGGTTAATGACTCAGTGTGATTTGGCAGGCAGCAACGGTGGAGAGCAAGGGGAATTTTTGTTTACTTTCTTGTTTTTTAAATGCAGTATTTCCACCTCGTAAAAAAAAACAAACAAACAAACAAAAAACCCCCAAAACCAAACAAACCCCAAAACATTAATTTTATCCCTCTGGTTTAAAGATTTTCTGGAATCGAAGTTGTTGTAGTTTATTGTAACCATCTCAACTATCAGCAGCTTTTTAATGATGCATTCACCAAGACCACCTAAAAAGCTGCATCTATCTTAGCGTAAGAATCACACAGATTTCTCTACTATTTACTTTTCATTAAGACTGCAAATGGGGCTTTCTAGCTTTCCTTTAAAGTGAACCAAAATTTTATTGTTTCTAGGTAGAACTAGAAAATCATGGCCAAATACACTGACATGCCTGGCATAACACCAATGTAAAGAGTTGGTAATGGGTCAGTCTTAATGTAGGTTATATGTTTGAAAATGAGCTAAGCAGTCACATCTTAAAAGAATTTTGCTTAAAACTGGTCAATTACAAGATGTTTCCTTTTACAAAAGATCAAGTGAATACCTACTGACAAATATTCCACACAGTTCCTATTCCGGGAAATAGATACTGATTAAAAGCTAAGCTAGTTTTTAAATCAAACAAGTAACAGACAGCTACAAAAATATTGTTGTGAATTAAATACACAAATGTTTAACAGTGCAAAATGTTGAGATGAAGCATACGAAATAATGGTTGCAACCTTTACAACAGTTAGTTTTAATATAATTTCTAAAAACTTCCTGAGTTCCTGCTTATTTTTACGGCATATAGATGGAATCTGTGTGTTCTTTATTCAAAGAACTGCAGATGGTGGGTTTATGTTGAGTGTTACTTGCGTGCTTATCATTTGTCCATTCCTCACCATCAGTGACTGGATCAGCCTGCTCAGAAGTCTCTATTTCTTCCTCTTCACTTTGTTCTGCGTTGTCTTCTTCGGCACCACTAAGGGTCTTCCCAAGCTGAAGAGTCTCCATAGTTCTCTGGGTCTCTGAAACCCAAGATTCAATTCTGCTATTAAGCTGAACCTCTACAGAAATTGGTTCATGGGCATAATCCTCATCATCATCTTCTTCCTCCTCCTCCTCCTCTTCTAGCATTCCTGGTACAAGAGTACTGGTGGTACTGGTCATGGAGGAATTCAAAAGATCTCGGCAGCTGCCATCCAGTGATCCTGTTTCTGTACTCTGCTGTGAGGCCCATTCCAGATTGTCATCTGGTTTCACCTCATCTTTGTCTCCTGATGTGGATTTTCCATGATTTGTTGTTGAGGTAGTGCCAGTTGTAGCCAGAGGTGGTTTATTAAGAGTGGCTTTTTCAATTTGGCCATTACCAGCTTTTTCGGGTACTGCAGTCTTACAGGAGGATTCTTTCTCATTTTCAGAGGTTTCTAACCCATCAGATGTTTCCACCATATTTCTCCAGTTTGTTTCTACAAATTTCAAAAAAGTTTAAGTAAAAAAAACATTAATTCTTTCTATATAAAAATATTTCTCCTGAACATCCCAGAATTGTTTAAATAGCAACAGGAGCTAGTAATTTTAACATTATTCTATGTTAGAAAGTTTTCTATCAAAAAAAGAGGGAAGAAGGGAAAGGGAGAGATAAGAGAAAGAGCTGTAAATAACTTTGGGTTTTCACAGTATCCTAAACCAGACATTACAAAGTAGAAAGTTTGTGTGCTTAGTTTCCTGTGTAAACTGTGGAAGCACCAAATGGAACAGTGAGTGGAGTTAAAGGGGTTACTCTCAAATATAAATGAAAAGCAGAAAATTGCCACAGTATTAAGTAATTTGCTTGAGGATTGTTTTGAAAAAGATTTAACAGATTAAATAAGTTTGAGAGCTAGTGTCCTATTTAATTCACTGTTAAGAATAAAAAAAGAGAAATCTCTTGACTTCAAACAAGCATTCTCCCTTTTATCCCCTCTGTCATCTGGGCTTAAGCAACTAGATAAATAAATCTGCCTTTTGCTCACACTATAATCATTCACTGTAATCTCAAGTTTCAAAATTTAAGCTACATGTCCTATCTTCAGAGACCTCAATAATTTAGTTCCTACCCTCTGTCACTAGTTCTTCCTCAATCATATAATCGATTCTGTGTTTGGTACCAGTTCTATACCGGTTCAATAAAACTGGATAAGCCATCTCCACTGATGTGAGTTAGGTAACTGAAACACTTCTGAGGATTAGAAATTATTTTCTATATAGCTCAGGGGAAAAAAATTGACATATAAAAATTTTCTCTTACCCCTGAAAATTGCAGAATACTGTAAATTATGAAGAAATATTGTATTTTTAGCTACATTTAGCAAGAAGCAGCATTTGGAAAATTCCAGCTTCTAGTTAAAGAAGTTTTAACGCACTTACCATATTCTTTCTCATTCACTTCAGATATGGGTTCAGAAATAACACTACAGAACGAGATAGCACTTGCTGCAGAGGGGTTACGAGAATGGCCCATGTGATGCGGTGCCTTCTTGACATTCTTCAAGGCTTCTTCTGCCTGTTCCTGTTCCATTGCAGCAACCATATCTCTGTAGGCTTTTCTGGCCTCTTCAGTCAGTGATACCAGCTTATTAAATAGGTCCTAAGCACGAAGGCAGTTTTTATAATCAGTAGTTCTTACTAATAATTTTCACTTTAAATTACTCCTTTTAGTCAAAGGTATACTACATAATCAGCTTTACGCTTATTAACACTAAGTACCGTTACATCAACCAAAAATTAGTTGTTCTCTGTATTAAATAAAAATAAAAACACCACTCCATGTTTACGCAGCTTTGAGGAGATGTACTTAAATATACTGTTGTTCTTACAATCTTAAGCCTTCCAGAGAATTTCAGATGGCATTTAAGTCTATTTGAAAGCTACAGAGAAGTTGGGACCAAAGTGTTTCAACATAATCTCTCAGTTCTGTAAACACTGAATTTCAAAGAAAAACATGCTCTAACATAGATCAAGTCAAGGCTATTATCAAATGTGTATTATTTAAGTGTGGTCTCCATGTCAAATCAATTATAAACTACAAGGATTCACTACAATCAATTCTTAACTACAAGGCTGTTTACTCCAGATGTTTATGTGAATGGAATTACTCACCTCAGCACCCGAGTAGTTGAAGATACCCACTACACTAACAGGAACCAGCTTGTTCACACAACGGCCAAGAGCTTTACGTCCAAGAGCAAAGACAAAAGGAATTTCTTGTTCCCGTGCCATGGCTATTACATTGTATAGAGCCTCATCTAGTCCACCTTGAAGAAAGCAATTTTAAATAGATATCTAGTCAGTTAAAGTCATACTATGGCAAGATACAACTCTCTATCCCATTTTAACTGTAATTACGTTAGTAAAACTTCAATACATACCATCACCAGCTACTATGTTCTACAGGATAACAAGCTGCACATTTCAAGTATAGCGAGTGAGTACAGATCATATTCTGTATTCTCTATTACTCCTGCACACACATTAAACCAAAATTTTTCACAGCTCTTTTCTTGAGCAGAGCTTTGCTGTTATCATATCTTAGGAAGCCTCTGTTTACATTTCTGGTTGTGGCAAAATGTGTTGGTTGGCTAACTAACCAATTCTTACTCCTCTTAAGGAATCCTCTTTAAGAGCACCCAAAGCTCAGTACTCTAGATGTATCAAAGACTGAATGGAATAAAGCTGATGTCTACTGTATGTATTATAACATCTATTTTTCTTTAAGCTATTCACCCCTTATGAACAAGTTTCTTCCAGAATGGAGCAGAAAAGAATGAATGTGGAGTGGCAGTTGCACAATGGATTCTGGAAGGTGTTATATCATTCATAGTAACTAAAAAAATGCTTCTACCCTTGCTAATCAGCACAAAAAAAACCTGTAAACAGTTAAGTGCACCACTTGTTTTACCATTTATACCTTTTGACTGGATTTTTTCGCAGTTGGGAGATATGATTACACACTTAATCTTGTTTAGTTTCATATGCTTAGTAACCTCGCGCAATCCCATAACAAGTCGTCTTCTTGCTTTAGCTCTCATGGGATCCTTTTGATAAATCCGTTCCTGGAAGCTGACAAGCTCTTGCAGTAAGAGGGTCACACATTCATCTATTTCTTTACTTAGAACTTGGTTACAGTATCTGTCAATTCAAAAAACATCAAATATTAGCATAGCACATAATAAATGCTATTTCACTGAGCATTTTCTTTTACCAAATAAAAATAATTTTAGTTCCTCAGAACAGTTATTAAACTGTTAAGAGTTATAAAAAGGATTTAGAAATCAGACTGTATACTGTAAGTTAGAAATACATCCTGAAGTCATTTCTGTTACCAGTAACATCCCTTACCCTCGAGAAGTCAGTCAAAAAGAATATTAAAAAATATAAAGAAATACTGCAATAGGTGCCACAACCAGCTATTCTTTTCCTTAATTTGGTACTCTATAATAATACACTAATAAAAAAGCAGTAAGGTATTAAGAGTGACTATTACAGTATTTTAAGCGTATGTAAGTATTCCTTCTTTCCCATCCAAAGTCTAAGTAGCCCTCCCTTAAAAAAAAAATCAATTTTTTAGATAATAATCTAGCTTATTTGTTGCAGCAACAAAAGAAAATCCAAAGTGCGTGCGTGTACATGCACAATATATATACATTTATGCATGGATATACATACACATATACACAGCAATCCATCTATGGCAAAAAAAAAATACCTGCATTAACTTCCCCTGGTGAAAGGGCAGCTTATGTTCATTAAGCTCCTTGTAAGGAGCTAAGTCTACTAAACCTATCCACGCTTAAAAGATGAAAGCAACTGAAGTGCAAGCCTTGAATTTATATTAATAATGCAAAACTCTTACTCTCTAAATCTCTTGCTGTGGATTTTGGTTATTGCAGAAGATGCCATCGGACTACCTATTCCAGAACTAGCAGGTGAACCTTGTGACACTGGGGTCATGCAGTACGGAGAATTCTGACTTGCTGGCGAAAGTGAAGTATCACTAGGCATACTTAGTCCAGTTTCTGAAAGACAATTCTGAAGCATTATAAAATGCAAAGACATTTTCACATAAAAGAAACAGCATCACACTATCTCACCCTCACTTTTTCCAAATTACAGTCTGAAAACACTAAAGAGTATTCTCCCCTGTGTGGGTAGTTGAGGGGGCTGGGGGGGACAGGAACAAAACAAGCACACATACAACACTCAGCATGGGTTAGGTAAATAAGCAGTATTTGAATATTCATTAAAAAACATCCAAGGCTTAATTTGGGAAATGGACAGAACAGAAGGGAAAAGCTGCCTAAATGCTACAACTTCTTCCAATAATTCTTTACTATTTTTATATATAATATTTAACTAACTTGTTCCTAGGATATTTAAGATTTTCACACTCGGCTCCAGTCAGGTGAATTCAGAAGGAGAGTTCTGAAGCAGTACATCCGGAATCTTGACAGATACCTCCTGCGACCCCCAAAACCCACACACATTAAAGACACTGAAAATACTCTGGAGTTTCCCAGTTGCTCAGAGCTGTTGCTGCAAATTGACAGTCCAGACTTTGAAGTTGATTGACAAGAGTATTCAGCAAACTGGAAAATCTTATTTACAGTTTGGAACTTCTGTATCTGGAAAGCTTTCAGTATGCTCATCATTAAAAAGCATTGTGATCAACATGGCATGGCTGACAACAGGTCACATTTTGTCCACTTATCAAAAATACAATCAGCTCTAACATGTGCTGGGAACACCTGCTCAAGAGATGAATTAAAAGATGTATGGAGATTATGTATTTGGAACTCGGACTGCACTGAGCACTCCACTACTGAGGGACAGACGTTTTAGAAAAAGAGGGTTCTAGCTTCTAGAATTTCATAATGTTAACAAAGTTAAAAGATAACATCAATAAACTGTGTTGCACAAAAAGACAAAACATTAAAATAAGAGTATTAGTAAAATTGGAGGAGGAGGGAAGGGGCACTAGAGAAACAGAGAGAGACCAACCTTCCTGTGAGGCCAGCTCCTGAGACTGATCAGCAGTCAAGTTTATATGAACCTCTTTCTGTTCGTCAGACCCCAAAAGACTATGGTCAGCTGATAAACGGCCCTTCTTCTCTTCCCTCTCTTTCAAAATAATCTAGGAACAAAACCAACAGCTATCAGCATCTGAATAGAGATACCTGTAAAGAAAAATGTCCGTTTGACTGAACAAAACACAAAATAAAGTTAACCAAGTTGTTTTGAACATTTCTACTCATGCCAAGATAGAAAAACCTGAAATAATTTGTTTCCTCTTTGATCACAAACAGTATTTAATTCCATCATTTACAGATAGTATACTCAGTGCTCTCATACTTCTACACAAATAGTGCTTTCAGCATTTTAAGTACTTTCATAGCTTCCTTCTGATATGTAACACTCACTCATTAACAATTCCTCATCCCCATCTCTGTAAAAAACACCTTATGCAAGAATATTAGTGATCTTTGTGAAGCACCACAACAGGAAGTAGAATCCTTTCTTTTATAGAAAGGAAAGTGCAAATATAAGTAGCCATGAATATATTTGCATTACTATGATAAATTAGCCTTGACAGAGAGTTTAGAAAACATCTCTGAAGAGGTAGCTGTTAATTTCTCTAACTCAAGTAGATAATGGATAAGTCAGATAAAAAAGATTGTCAGGGAGTTAAAAAAGTGCAACTTAGCCAAAGCCAACCTTTGTACAAACACAACTTTTACCAGGTTCTAACTGCCCATATCATAAAGTGATCCTGACAAGAAGTGTGGTGCATGAGTAAAGGTGACTTTCAGACTTTTTTTTTAAAAGGCTTTCACACTTTCTTTTTGAGCTAGGTTTTTGTATTTTACCTTCCGATTTCCATACATATTGTATTTTCTGTGTACATACCTACTTTACGTGTGCATGTATACAGATATATACAACCAATTATTTCTAAACTTACTCAATTAAAAATTGTATTTTTACTTCAAGTTCTATACCCATCTCTAAAAAAAGAGTAGGAAAATTTAAGGTCAGCACACTACGTTGCACTACAAACTGGGATTCAACAACATGGAAAAAACTATGTAAGTTTTCCCGTGCGTCCTAGTGCTTACAGTAGAAAAAGGTCCTTGCAATCTGTACTGAGATAGATTTGTGTCACCTTCAACTAATCATGGGCGTATAAAAGTTATGTTACACGCCTGGATCCAAAGGACAGAACCATCAGTGTAAGAGGAACTAGAGGCAGAAGCTCAGGACTCCCTTACTCAATGCTCATGGTCACTAGTCCTCAAGTAAGAAAATACCAGTTTTTATTTTTTAAGTAGGAGTGTGGGTGAGGACACTCCAGGGTTTACATGTTTACCTTTTTAAGTGCTGTAGGGCGTTTCAGTTTTGCAATCTCTCTTTCTTTTCCTCTTTTCACTTTTGGGGCAGTTGAATCCAAAGGATTAAGGCAACCCATAGATGGCTGTCCCTTTGTTAAGGACTTTCTGTTGGCAGATTCTTTGGTATGAAAGGGAGCAGCACTGCCAACTAAATACAAGATAGCTATTAGTTTCACCAAAAGACATGTCAGCTTTATTTCAACACTGCTTTCAGAATTTCCACTGATGAATTCTCAAAGTACATTTTCCTTCCTTGGAAAAAAGCAGTCCATAATGACAGGAAAATTACATCATCAGGTATTGTCGCCTCCAGATGGTTTTAAGCTTTCTTCAACTTAGCCTCATGTTTTAGGAAGCTATGGATTCCAGGAAAGGAATTACTTTAATACTGGTAAGAGATCTCTCTCAAATGACTACATGTAGCTTTATTAGTAAGGTAAGTTGCAAATATTTATCCAAACATGTATTTCCAGTTGTCAAAGACTTGAGGAATCGACAGGACAAAACAGATGAGGGAGTACAGCATGTAGTTAAGTGTATCTTCTGCAAGAGGATAAAATAAATGTGGTCTCCAATGGAAATGCCAGCTGTTCTTTGCTGAGCTTTGTTTGATATAACCTTGCCAACTTGAATTAATGTTTAAATATGGCTGAAACTCAAAGTAGGTAAATGAAGCAACACACAAGAAGGAAAATGGTAACTATGTGCGTTAACTACGGACTCTAGGCTACATACTACTGCTCAGGAATGAGATTCATGGGCTGTAACAGATAATTACAAAAACATCAGTTCTGTATTTAGCAGCAAGCATTAAAAAAGCTAATTTAATCTTAAGTGTTGATAAAGAAATGGAGAACAAAAAAGCATAATTAAGCCATTGCAAACATTCATGAAGGAACTATAGCTTAATATTCTGTGCATGTCTGATCTTCCTTGCTTTCAAAAAGACACAGTAGATTTAC